GGGCAGAAAGTAGGCTCACCTTTCCTTTTGCTAGGATCAAACATCCCTCAAGTCTTGGGCACATCTGGTTTATCCTTCTGGAGTAATACTTTGAAGAGAAGACTTGGAGGATCTTTTTTTTTTTTTTGGCAGTAAATAAGTACAGATAGGTTAGAGTGTAAACTGCAGAACTAAATGAATGTTCAAGATCAGCATATACAAGCTGTAGCAGCTTCGGCCTCTAGTCGCCTCCCAGAAGGAGGGGTTAACTCTCCTCTCCTCTCCTAAGTACAAATTTTAAAGAAGTACTGTAGGGATACTTGTGGGTTTACATGACATAGATCTTCAGCTCTATATCTGAAATTTAGTTTTTGTTCCTCTCCTCCTTTGTTTTTTTTGCACAAAGCAGACATTTTTGAGCAAGTCCTCACAAAGGTTTATAGAAAGACAAAGACAAATGATGTTTACAACCACATCTCCTCACTCCTTTCCTAAATGTTCTTTCTTGGACCTGTAAGTGGCTGCTCCCTCAGCGGTCCCTGCCTTTGCCTTAATTGTTGCTTTTGATGTAACCAAGGACATGCATGAGGAAAACAAATGCACCTCTGAGGAGAATAATTATTAGAACCTTATAAATTATTTTCGCTTGAAGGGCTATGAAATTTACAAATGTTCTCTATTCAGGCAGAAAATTGCATAGATCTTGATAATAGAGACACTATCACAGATTGGATCTATGGATTGAAGAATCACATTTGCACACTGAAATAAGCCAAAAATAATCTGGCCATTCTGTCTGAAAAACTGGTCCCCCAAACAACAAAACCTTGAGTATATCCCATAAACTGAAGGATCTTTTAAGATAAGCCATAATATTGGGTGACAAGATAATCATTCATGTGACAAATTTGTTTTCAACCACAAACAAGACTAATGTACACATTCAAACCCTGGTAAGTTTGTGGAATATTATTCTTCAAGTAGCTATTGTGTTTTTAATTGATGAGCCAGTCTTCCTAAGCCTAACTCCTGTGCATTCTGTCTAGGTAGATGTTTTCTTTCCCTTTCTAAATGTTCCTTCCTTCAAGTTCTCCTCCATTTGGTGTTCATGTACCATCAAGCAAACAGACCGCAATTCTTTGCTATTTCAATCCAAGCATCAACAGCTCCCACTCTGAGCAACCTGAGACAAAACTTATGCAACCAGTCAATTTTGTCTTTCATGGTCCTGAAAATGCATTGAGTAGATTCATCCTCACTGTCCTCAGGTGAATACTTGGGCAGATCCCAAGACTTCTTTTACTTCAGCAACCACTTAAAATATCAGAAGAATGAAAATGTCCAGCCTGGAAGTAAAGGAAACACCAACCTGGTTATAGCATTGAATCTTCCAGCCTATCAGGCAGGGCCTGCTGTGAGCATGCTGATCTCCTACAGTTCTGGAAGAGGGTTGACTTCTTTTCTCTTTCCCCTCCTTATGCCCAAACTTTGGCCATTTCTCACCCTTCTCGGAGCAAAGCAGGAGGCCAGGACTGGATTAGCTATCTTCATACCCTGTTGATGGATGCTTTATGGATATTCATTTTCCTTCAGCTGACTGCTCATGCCTACATTAGCCTCTGGAGTTCTAGAAACTATAGTTGTTGGGCTGCCCTTGCCCTTGAGCTGAATGGTCCCATGCCAGCCCTCCCTCCCTCAAGGCCCCACCTTGCTCCCAGGAAATCCTTTGCCCAAAAAACTCAGGGAAGGCAGATGCTTTTGCTGCCTAAGCCACCCCATGGGTGCCAAATGCAGGAAACATGTACAGCTCAACCAGTAGTTCCATTTAAACCTCCCACTAGCTCGGGATGCAGAAAGTAACAATAGATCTCTCCAAAGAAGTTTCTTTAGCAAACTTCCCACTCTCAGTCCTCCTATTTGTTAAGTGACCAATGGGATTCATGAGTTATGGAAACATTCTCAAATATCTACATTAAATTTTCTACTTGCTAGTCCAGCACTTTCCTTTGGAATTTCGCATAATCTGAACATGCACCTCAGTCCAAACTTTAATTTAGTACCTTGTTTTATTTATATACACACATATGTACATAAATGTTTAGGAGGTACCTTCTAATTATTTTTAAAGTTCATGGTACTCTTATGTAGCTAATAAAATTGAACATGGCATGGCAGGCGCATTTAGAGAGATAAAATTCAACTCCTCCCATATCCAGTGTGAAATCCAACCCTCAACCCTCACAAAATATTAGCCCAGCATTGACTTGATCTGATGTTGAAAACAAACCCACATCTTCGTCCTCAGATAACTGAGCCCGGGCCTCATATCTGGCCAAGCTCTCCACCCCCAGCCCTGACCCCCTTCACCAGGTTAAACATTTCCATTCCTCATTGGCCTGACATCACCCAGGTCCCCTTCCTTTGGATACTCTGAACTTGGTTCATGTCCTCTATAAGGGAATTACTGAGACGGAACACTAAGTAGACCTCTGTTTCCTCTGAACCAAATGCCACAGGAAGAGTAGAATGTAGTAGTTAAGGGCCCAGGTTCTTATCCTTCTCCACTACTTACTGGCTATGTAATCTTAGTTAAATTATTTAATCCGTCTATGCCTCTGCCTCTTAATCTCTTAAACGGGCATGGTGATAATTATATTCCCTATTCATGGGGTTATTTATAGGGCCTGAATTAAAATTACAAAACACTGCCTGGCGGATAATAAATTCCATACAGATGTCTATTTTCAGAAAGTTCTGTCCTTATTAGTGAAAATTAAGAATTTGCAATTAAGAATTGCTCCTTCAGGCTATGGCTCATTCAGGGCTTGATGGACTACTGAACCCCCAAATCCATTTTTTCACATGTGTTGCTATTCCCGGGGACATTCCATCTGTTACTGACTCTTTGAACTTACAGAACTAGATCTCCAACCTTACTGTGAACTCAACATTATATTATTATTTCTTGTCTAGATTTAAAATGGGTCTCATACAGTAGCCTCTCAGATTTGTAGCTGTCACAACTTTGATAAATTTGCCTCTTCTATACCTCTATACATTTCTACTGATGAGGGATACCAGTAGGCACAGGGACAAAGCCTTGTTTCTCCACATCTTCCCACCTTTTCCTTAGGGACAGCAGGAGTCCTTGCTAAAAGCCTCTGCAAAGACCAGACACACATTTGAGATTCTCCATGCAAGATAGGTTTCCCCAATATGTTCAGAGAAACCTCCCCAAGATGGCTAGAATAAGCCCACTGAGGTGGCATGAGGATTATTTCAAGGTCAACCAAAGCCTATGGATAACAAGAGAAACCATTATCATACCCTCAACTACTTAGAAAAATACAGATCAAAGGGGGGGCCAGATTTAATGTGATCTCTAGAAATAACCATTTAATTTAAAATGTCTACCAACATGGCAGGGAAAACACCTAGTTACAGAGGATCTGATTTTTGTCATTCAAGTCCCCCTCATCTCTCCTTGAAGGCCCAGGCCCCTATCCCATTCCTTAGCTTGGAATATAAACTCTTGTTTTATCCCACTTACTCCAGAATTTACAGCTGTATCTTTTCTCCACAAGTGTATAATTAAATTTACTCTTCCCTCTTTCTAATCTGTCTGCACCCAGACTAGTTTAAAAAGAAACTCAGAGTGATAGAGGAAAACTTCCTTTCCAACCTTACATTCATGATGAGGAAGAGCCAGTACTGAATTATTAGCAGGTCCAGAGCACTGGAAATCTCTTGTTGCAAAACGTGAATAATAAGTCATCTATAGCTGTCAGCACTAAAGGAGATTGTGAGACTGAGGACATCTAGCCGAGTTACTGCCACACTTGAAGGATGACAAGGTCAACAATAAAGGATTTGGAGATGAATACTGACTGGCAAAATACCTATAGGAGCATGTGGGAGTCTAGAGAAATGGGAAGGAAGAAGTTACCTCTTCAAAAAATGGGCTGATGTTAATTTGCAAGGTAAAATACTATGAGCAGAATGATGGTAGCCTGGAAGGATGAACAGTGGCACAGAAATAGGTATGTATACATAGCCAGGGCAATGCAGGACACACACAAATTTGCACAACCATAATTTGTACATAAAATGCACTGTAATAGTTTCTCTTCCCTATTGACTTTAACATTTTAAAAATACTGCTGCAATTCACTAACTGCTATCACCACCCTCTGAATCACAGCCCACGTTTGAAAAACAGCGCTGGCTGTTGACTAAGCATATTGTGGTGATCATTTTGCAATATATGTAAATCACACCATCATGTTACATACCTTGAACTTATACAATGATATCTGTCAATTATTTCTCGATAAAACTTTTTTTAAGTCTCTAAAATGAAAGGGGTGGTGAGTAGACATGATGTGTTTCAGTCTATATACTCCAGCAGGTTCCTAGAAACTAAGAAGTTATCAATAGCTTGGCATAAGTTCTTTCCTTTCCTAAGTAGTCTTGAACTGCATCCTTAAAGAATTTGTTCTGGAAGGTTGGCAGAGTTCAATATTTCCCTCTGGAAAATCTCTTGGTCTTATTCTTACCACTGGGGCCTCTCAGAGGTGACTGGGAAGCTTATCCTGCTATGGGATGTTTGGACCAGGACCCTGAAAAGCACAGCCCAGCTTCAAGCCCTTCTCAAAGGAGATAGGCTGTCTTCCCATTTTGAAAAGACAGATTGGAAGCCGCTCTGACAACTGTCACCTGTTAACTTTGCCTCATCTTCCATAAACACTGGGTGACCTTCCCAATTGGGACAAAACTCCCTGTTGTAGGCACCCCAACCCACCCAACGTGGTCTCTCTCCTTCTAGACGTTATTCCTGCAGGCCCAGGCATTCTTGGTGAAGTCCCCTATGTTATGTACCTAGACTAGGGCACTAACCTCATAATCCTATTTTCCAAGTCCCTTTCTACTCCCCACTATTAACTGGGGGACTACGTTTGGAAAATTGACTAATATCTCAACCTAATTTTCATCATGGGTAAACTGAAAATACTATTACTTACCTTTGGGATTCTCATGAGAATTAATTTGTATGGGAGAGTCCCCTTTTCCTCTTTGCAGAGCACGAACAATTTTCCCCAATCTTCCATTGCTTTCAAAACACTACCAAGTGTTTCACTGCCACCAGATTCAATCCCCTATGTTATCCACACTGCCGTGGACACCGTAAAGATCAAAATAACTTTATAACGAGGCCACAGCATTGAAAAGGATAGAAAAGGGGAGAAAAACAGCAGCCGCTATTTTTCCTCCTAATGACCTGCGGGCTGGCTCCCCAGTGCTAACAAGATGAATGAACTGTCAAGCCTGAGTTCGTTCGAAGGACCCCGGGCAGCGGACTGCAGGTTCCCCAGGACCGCGGGACCCCGCGCCGGGCCAGGCCCGCTCGGCTGCTGGGCACAGGACGGCAGGGAGGCCAGAGGAGGAAAGTTTTAGGACCGGGGGTGCTGGGGTGAGGCGGAAGCCCACCCAGGACCAGGGCGCACGACTTCCAAGCTCTTCAGACGCCCGCCTGGGGGGTACGCACAGCACGGGCGGCGAGAAGGGTCTTAAACTTGGAGACCCTGCACCGGTCCACTCTTCCGCGCGAACACCTCAAGCCCTGGTCCTCCCTTCCCACAAAGCCCCAAACTAAAAGC